GAGCGCGCGTCGCCTCTGTGCAGTTGACGGCGCCGAGAAAAAGGTATTTATTCTACGCTGCCAAGCACACTTGCCCAGAACCCGCGACGCTACACTTTTGCGTCAACAAAGTAGGATATAGCGGTGGCTGTTTGCTAACTCGAAATTGTTATGAGCACAGAAGGGGGAAATAATGGCCGTTAAGAAAAGAAGGCGGCTTCGGATGGGATTTCCCCGGGAGAATAAGCAGATTTCAACTGAGAAGGGAAACGACATAGTGGAAATTGACGAAGTGAAGATAATTCCCCCGTTTTAGAGGCTCGAGCTGGGGAGAATGAAACGCTGGAGGAGGTTACAAAGGAGGAAAAAAATTGACTGCTACTTTATTGGTTCGCATTGTTACTATGTATAGTTACACGAATTATGACTCAGTTGAGCGCCCCCCTAAGAGTTTAGCCTACAAAATTAGGTGCGCTATCTGCCCCCAAAGGTACGTACGTTAATGAGCACCTGCAAAGTCGCACCTTTGGAGACAGTTCATTCCTGATTCATTGTGGCATCTGTCCGATTGGAAGTTAACTGTTTTTTCTTGTTTCTAATCCTGCTCGATTGGTCAGCAGAGGAAGGCATACTAGCAGGGCAGGCTACACTGTCGAGGCGAGCCGAAAGGGTTCCCCAGAGGTAGGAGAATCCCGAATTGTACTTGCTCCTGTGAGAAGATATCCATCAGGTAGTGTACTTTTACATGTATATCTACGCAGAGAAAGTGCGACGATTGATGTAACCGCTTAGGATTTTCTAATCCTGTCAACCTTTTCGCGACTGTTCTTACCTCAGAAAAGGGGAAAACAGGACAAGCCATAGCCCACGGTAGAGCTGAGGGAAAAAAAGGGGCCACATTACACACGGAAGTACCAAATAAAGCATAGTTATTACATAGTCACATAAAAATGACGACTGCGACTCTGTACTGCTGCAAACTGCAATCGCAGGAACTGGCACTGACCAACTATGGCTTCATCAACTCCAGTTTGTACAGTAGTTTGAAGAGGAGTTCCAAAAGCAGCGAATTGTATGCAGAAGTAGCGAACACCGTTTTGATACTAAAGGGGGATGGGAATATCGGGAAGGACGAAATAGCGTTGAATACGTGCCAAAGGGAATTCTCAAGGATCCAGCTGAAGGAAGCTGTGAAGTTGAATGTCCTCGATAGGGAAAGCAAAAGAGACCTCATCCATTTCATCCCTATTGATAGCATCGATGTGGAGGTTACCCTATTTGTGAAGCCTGATCGGTTGATCGAAATGGAGGACGATGTTTTGGAAGGAGTTTTTAAAAAGTACTTCATCAACCATGTACTGACGAAAGGGCAAATACTAGCCCTAAAATGTAATGACATTCTGATAAAGTGCGTTATAAAAGATCTGAAGGCGGCACAATTTGACGAAATCAAGAGGCTGAATAAGGACAACCTGAGCAGCATCGGCAGCCTAGGCACCCCGAGCAGTGCAAGTTCGTTCTTCAAGTTAGGGAATAACACCCCGATGAGTAGTACCAGTATGTGTAGACAAACGGGGGAACACGAGAGGGGAATTCTGTTCGAAAACACCGAATGTGTATTCACCAGCATGAGTGATGGGAAGTTATTTATTGAATCTAAGAAGGTGTTAAAAAAGAACATCATAAAGAGCAACTTCAATTTTGAGGAGTTAGGGATAGGAGCACTTGATGAAGAATTTAAAACCATATTTAGACGAACCTTTGCCAGCCGAATTTACCCCAACTATATAATTAAGCAGCTGGGGATCAAACATGTGAAGGGACTCATTCTGTATGGGCCCCCGGGGACAGGGAAAACTTTAATAGCTAGACAGATAGGGAAAACACTGAATGCAAGAGAACCCAAAATTATTAATGGTCCAGAAATATTAAATAAATATGTAGGACAGTCAGAGGAAAACATTAGGAACTTATTTAAAGACGCAGAGATGGAATATAAACAGAGTGGAGAAAATTCACAGCTACACATTATCATTTTAGACGAAATTGATGCTATTTGTCGACAGAGAGGTAGTGCTGCCTCAAGTGGGACTGGTGTAAACGACAGCATTGTGAATCAGCTGCTCTCCAAAATCGACGGTGTTAACAGCTTGAATAATATACTGCTGATCGGCATGACCAACCGAATTGATTTGATCGATGATGCGCTGTTGAGACCCGGAAGATTCGAACTGCACATAGAAATTTCTCTCCCCAATAAGGAGGGTAGGATCCAGATTTTGAATATTCACACGAAGAGCATGAGAAAGAGCAATAAGCTAAGTGCAGATGTGAATATCGTGGAGTTGGCAGAAAAGACCCCAAACTTTTCTGGTGCAGAAATTGAAGGACTAGTGAGAAACACGGTATCGTACGCTTTCGAGAGACACATAAATTTTAATGACTTAACGAAACCGATCAACGCAGATGACATAATGATAACGAAGAAGGATTTTTATAAGGCATTGAAAGAGACGAAGCCAGCCTTTGGGGCGGAAGAAGACGTCATTGACGGGTTGCTGTCGAATGGAATTATCAATTATGGGGAGCAATACGAAAATATTGAGAACACATGCAAGCTGCTAATTAAACAGATTGTAGAGAATGCAAACACGAATTTGTTGAGTGTCCTTCTATATGGAGAAAACGGGACAGGAAAAACTACCATTGCCGCGTACCTTGCTAAGAGCGCTAATTTTCACTTCACAAAATTTATCACCCCGGAAAACCTAATTGGGTATTCCGAAATTAGCAGGATAAATTACATAAATAAGATTTTCGAAGATGCGTATAAAACTCCCCTTTCGTTAGTCATTTTGGATAACATAGAGAGGCTTATCGATTACACACGCATTGGGCCTCGATTTAGCAACCCCGTGCTGCAAGCAATCATGGTTTTAATTAAGAAGAAACCCAAAAAGGAAAACCAGAAAATTTTAATCATATGCACCACGTCGGAGTATCAATTTATGAAGGATGTCGGGTTGATTAAAAACTTTTTTGTTAATATAGAAGTGCCCTTGTTACATTGTTCCACCTCAATTAGGAATGTTCTGCAGAACAGGAATCAGAATTGTGGCGATTTCCCTGAACGAGAGATAGAGCAAGTGCTCGCGGCAAACGTGATCAAAAGTATTGCCATTAAGAACCTGCTCATGGTCATCGACATGGCGTCGGAGGCGTCCGTCGATGGGAGCATCACAAGCGAGGTTTTCCTGAAAACGTTTAACGACTGTGGGATTGGTTTCGACGAGGAGGCGTACTACTGAGCGGGGTGTGTGGAGTGCAGGCCGAACACGTGGCTGAGTAGCAATTCCTTGTCTTGCGCTTTCTCCCTCTGTTGCAGTATAACCTATATAATGGAGTTTTTTCTTTTTTTTTTTTTTCCTCTTTAGTTTGTCTGCCTTGCTTCCCCATTAGGGCGATTCCTCCCTACCAATTTTGTGCGTGCATATGGGGTAATCACCTACACATCGCGCGTATTTGTTAGTCTTTTTTTTTATTTTTTCTCTCATAAAAACAGGACACATCTTAATTAACAGAGAGGGGTCATTATCACGGAGGTGAACTATTAGGGCACACCACTCTGCAGGGAAGGATCACAAACGGGTTGGTTCTTCACCATTATGCCCGTGCAGTTGTTCATGGGGCAGGTAAAATGCTGTTGTCATTAAGAGTACGTTCGACGTGCAACAGGGAGCCGTGGAAACACTACCAAAGGGGGTTGGGGTGGACAAATGAACCGAACCAGAAAATATTAGGAGGGTTCTATCGCTTAAAGGAATGAGGACCTTCGGGGGTTACCCAATATGACTACTACAAAAGAAAAGTACTCCGTCGCGTGAAAGCAAGTAAAAAAAATGAATATACGCCTCGAAAAATTGCACACTTCTTTTTTTTTTGTCACCCAAATTGGATTCTCACAAAATAGGTAGGGCCCCTTACATATGACTTATATGGCAACTTTTTCGTGTCAATTGAGGGGACATCTGTACTGATGGATCTCTCACAGCGTGATAGCCATTCGGGGGAATTTACCCATCTGGCCACACTTCAACCCATTTCTGCTTTCCCTGCGTAGGTAGATGTGAAACCGGAGGACGTCTTCAAAAAAAAGAGCTGCTGCCAATCACACGTGGGGATTTATTAGCCGTAATAAGTTGGCAGTTCCGTAATTTATGGGAGAGTGTGGAATTGGAAACTTGGAGAACATAGGGGCACCTGCGATTTTCCTTTAATTTGTAAAAATAAAAGAATTGCTAGC